CTCTCTCTCTCTCTCTCTCTCTCTCTCTCGCTCTCTCTCTCTCTGTCGCGAGCGCTGCCAATGGCCGCTGCACAATGCCGCTGTGGGCGGGGATCGCATAGGTCGCGTGTCACTGTTGGGGATCTACAAACAAACGCCTGCTGGCACAAGTAAAAGCTCGGCATTCGTAAGTAGAGTAGAGTAAGAATGAGTTTCAAACGAAACAGTTTTTGCTTTTTTCCCAAGGACCGCGGTCCGGTTCTCCTTTCTTCCTCCTTTACTTGAGCTTGCTTGAGCTTTAGAAAATGTTAATAGACCATTTCACCCGTGCGTGATTCGATATATCGAAGAACAAAAACTTTTCTGTTCTTCGAGATGTCGAAAAGGGCTCGGGTGAAATGGTTTATTAAAAGGTGTCATTTCGGCAACAAACAGTTTTACTTTTGTTCCAGAATTTCCAGAGGCTGACTCAAGTGACATCCTTCCGGTCCGGAGTAGCAGTTGCGCGTAAGAGGGGAGAGGAAGGGCGTGATGGAGAGAGGGGAAGGAATCGAGGAGGGCACTAGGGCCGTGTGCTCGGCTCGGCCGGTGTGACTTGCCGGATGTGGCATCCTGCCAAACCTTTGGCAGACGCTCAGACGCTCCCGTCTTTTGGGGGTGTCCACAATTTTCATGCCGAAAGATTTTGTCCTCAACTGATCTCGAAAATAATTTTTAAATAATTTATAGAGAGAAATTTATGTGCAAAATATAAAAATAGAGAGTACATTTATTCCAGGCCCGAGATGGACACAGTTGGGTAAATGTTATTGCCTCCAGGGCGTCATGCGATGCAAGCGGCCCCGAGTAGTGCTACCATCCCAAACGACGAGCTGTTTTCTGACCCCGGGACTTTTCCTTTTGCTGGATGCAAGACGGTCGCACGGCCTCACGGGCACCGCGCGCCGCGGCGTAGAGTGAGTGCCGCTCCCTTTGAGGCGTACCGCCCTACGGGGCGGGGCGGGGCGGGGCGGGCGTTGTACCGTGTTTGTTTTCTTGACGGCATTGCCGCTCGCCGCGTGCTCGGTGCGTGCGTGCGCGCGCGGGGGAGGACAAGAAAAAGATAGTCCGGAATTTATGCAAACTCGCTCGCGCGCTGCTCGGGCTGGCTCAGCTCGGCGCGGTTCCGATCCACCCAACCCCTCCGAACCTGATATAATCCGATTCAGCAGATGTCCTCGTTAAAGTCCGGGCGCGACCAGACCGGATATATTTAATAGACGTCTCGTTAACTGCAATCCGATAAAACTTTGTCCCCGCGGCCGGGCGCGCGCAGTCTCGTCGAGACGATTGCGAGTTTGGATCGACTGTTCAAACAAGACCTGACCTCTTTTTATTTGCCCCCCACCCCTCTCACTCTGCGCGTCTGCAGGGGACTCGCTTCGTCGATAAGCCTATGCTGCCCCCTCCTCCCCCCTGTTTTACCTCATCAGCCCCCTCCTGCCTCCGTCTACCTCATCAGGGACCAAATTTCCTTTTAATTTCCTGTCCCCGCTCAAAATCTACGGCTTGCGGGTCCCATAGCCTGACAGCGACCACCTCGGAGGAACAGGTTGAGGGGGGAGGGGGGGGGCAGCACATTCACCTAATCCTTTTGTTTCTCTGCGACGCAGAGCAAGAATAAAACAAGTTTACTTTTGGCGATGTTATGTTATTAGTTTATGTGTGTTGATATGATACATCGATATATTTTTCTTATTTAAGAAAACGAAGTGCAGTTTCCATCAGAAACACGTGACCGTCCAACGGGTGCAGCTGCGCGGGGGAGTGCCGTACAGCAAGGACCGGCCACGCCCCGCCCGGGGCGGGCGAGCACAGCACGCGCTCTGCCAAGGCAGACGACGTGCAAAACATGATGTAAGCCCCCGGCAGTGTTCGAACCCGGGCGGTGCACGCCAGAGCCCAGCATGCAACGACCCGAAAGCACCTCGGGCAAAGGGGGGCTCGGCCCGTCTCCACCACGCCGTCCGATCGGATCCGAATCCTTTCAGAAGACCGCTCGAAGGAAACTTAGGAAAAATTCCTCTCCAGTACACGTTTCCATGAAATGAAAAATTCTAAAACCAAGTTACAGGTAGAGCATTTGCGGGGTAACTCTGCATTGAGTCTGTAAGTCTTAAGTTCGAGAAAAAATATCTTTTTACTTTCTTAGAATTGTAGAATATTTATTCAGTTTCCGCCGTTAAAAAGGGAGGGAGTAAAATGCTTTGAAAGAGTGACACTCAGTCGCAGACGCGGAAGGCGTTGAGGCGGCAACTCAAGGCACATTGCGTTATGGAGGCGAAATCGCATTATTTTGCCGCGCCGCCGGTCCGTCGTCCGTCCGACTCCGACTGTCCTCATGGACTCGCTCGTGGACGGCCGGCGCAAATCACATTGCCACGCGGCCGAGGGAAGAGGGGAAAGGGGAGAGTAGGAGGGAGGGAGGGGGGGCAGAGGGGAAGGTCTCCTCAGTCCGGAAACCAGCAAGGGCAGCACCCAAAGGAAAGAACAGACGAGGAGAAGGAGGAGGAGCTGCAGTTGGACGCCTTGTTACGGTGCGGCGGTGCAGGCGCCACGGCGGCCCGGCGCCCCGACCCAGAGGCGCCACGGCGCCGCGCACACCACGGGTGCCAATTGCTCCATTTAGCAGAGGGCTGTCGGAGCGGAGAGGGCGACGCCTCGAGCGCCTTGAGGCCCTTCTTCGTTGCGCCACCCCGCCACCGCCACCGCGCCACGCCACCAATCCCCCCCTTCCAGTCTCGGCTTTTTGCTCCCTCTCCAGTTCCAATCTGGACGTGAATCCCCCTGCCGTTCCTCGGCCGCCACA